TGGAGAGAGACAAGGCTTGCTCTTCTTTCCAAACCTGAGCAGTCTTCAGAGAAGAGAACAGGTGTATCAGCTTGGTCATACAGTAACAGAAACAGCCACACTGATCATGAAATGAAACAGGTTTTGTGCAAATTAATGTAGTTTCTTATTTATTGCTTTTGTAAATTGAATAAAAATGGACTTTCATGTAAATAGACTGCTGGATCCTGTATTATCACGGCTACTAAAAATTACTATGTGAACAATGCATTCTTCATTGTAACTTTTAAAATATTTTATGTATTTCTAGATAGGACTTAAAGTTTAGTTTTCATACATTATGAAAACCTATCTGCATACTCCTTAATTGCTTCAGACTAAACACATATTCACGGTATGTACTTCCAGTTACCTTCTGTCAGTATTAATTTAGATAGCTTGTTTGTACTGTGCAATTTGAACAAAGGAATGCAATGTTATTTTTTACAAAAACAAACTTGTTTATTTTTGTAATAACGCTGTATTTGATGTGGACCAAATTCATACCACTATGTAGAACAGCCTCTTCTCGTAGTGCAATTACAGTTTAGAAATAAAACTTGGTCCTCTCTCCTTGCTTTTTAAAGTAAATGGCTGGATACAGCTGTCCTAGCCAGGTTTCCTTTGAAGGGAAACTCAAAACCATTTTGAAATTGCTTAATTCGAACTTCATCAGACTGTCTTAAATTATTGAGTTTGGTAATTTGCTATCATTTACTTTTTACATTACAAGTGCAGTAACTGCATGTCCTCAGACTCCTGAACGGGTGGAATATGTGATCATGGTACCTGCTCTTTCTGGTGCTACTTTATTTAAGCCTTTGTTTTAAACCACCTTCCCCTGAATCTTAGGATAGAAAAATAATGTCTCCCACCTGAGAACGTGCAGCCCAGCAAGAGAGCAGCCTGAAATTTCTCCTCCTGTCCTAGTCCATTAGGGGAACTCGCATTGTTTTTGTGTTTGGTGTGAGTATACAGTCGATGAAAAGGTTTTACCATCGTAAACAGCTGTGATCCTTTCAAGTCTCTGCTGCTGGGTCCATGTTGCCCCCTTAGAAGCAGGGCACCAGGAAGGTGTCCTGCGGGGACACCACGAGTGACTCTTCTTCTAGACGGTTTTCCAGGTCGTAGGAATGGGCAGCCCCGAAGCAGGAACATTGGCAGGTTTACAGAAATCTTCTCTTGGTGGTTTGTAATGTACTTTACTTTTTTTTAATTCCTATTTTTATTTTGCCATGTTTGGTTCACATAACTGTTTAAGCCATAATTTTAACCAATGAAATTTCAGTATTCGGTAAAACTATTTGAAGTTTGAATTACTTGCTGATACCAAAACAAGAAGTCATTTGGGGGTAGAGTCAACGTTTGCTTGTAATTAAAGTTGCTGCTACTTCTATAATGTGTGTTTTTGGGTTTTCTTTTTAACTTGGTAAAAACCAAGTAAATGAATCATTAAATGAACTTTGTTCACCACTCAGGCTGATCGCAAAAATGTATATTTATTAAAAGCCAAGGAAATATTCTTTTCTTTATATAATTCCACCTCGTAGAATTTTACGAAATAACTACCAATAAAGACAAGTTTAAAATTTACATACAGAATTATACAGAATTGGAGCATCAAGAGTTGGCAGCATCCTATATGCCTGACCACAGAAGTCTAGAAGAGAAATCCATGTGAGGACATGGAAAATGCCCAAAATGTAATTGCGTAAATATAGAGACGGGGCACCCGTCTCTAGTAGGTGGGATTACAAGTGATTCTTTGTTTTCCTAAATCTTGGTTTCCGTGGATTTCCCTCTTAAGACATTTTGTATAAATCGAATCATAGAATACATGGCTTTTTCTGTCTGGCTTCTTGCACTTTGCAGGACGTTTTAAAAGTTCATCTTCATATGTTAGTAACTCTAACCGTTTTTAAGGCTGAATAATGTTACACTTTATGCATCTAGTTTATTTATCCATTTGTCAGTTTGAGGATATCTGGGTGGTTACCACTTCTTGACTAACATGAATGATGCTACTGTGTACATTCACGTACAAGTTTCCATGTGGATCTAAGTTTTCAGTTCTCCCTGGAACTGGAAACGCTGGGTCACGTAACTGGTTTATGTCCTGAGGAAACGCCTAACCATATCCCACAGCGCCTGTGCCATTTTTCACATTCCCACCAGCAGGGGATGTGGGTTCCGGTTTCTCACATCCTCGCCTGTTGTTATCCTTTTGGTTATTACGTATGAAGTGTACCATTATGAGGTAGATGTGCATTTGCATGGTGGCTGAGGTCTTTTCATACGGTTATTATCCATTTGCCTATCTCTGGAGAAAAAGGTCTATTCGCATCATTTGCCCGTTTCACAGTTGGGTCATTTATCTTTTTGTTTGCAAGAGTTCCTCATGCATTCTGGACACTAGACCTTTATCAGGTATGATTTGCAAGTATTTTTCTCATGATAAAGGCTTATTTTTTCACTTTCATTGACACTGTCCTTTGAAGCATGAAAGTTTTTCATTTTGGTGAAGTCCACCTGGGAAACCACTGCCTGACACCAGGTTACGGAGATCTGTGCCTAGATTTTCCTGCAAGAGTTTTTTTCTTTTTTTAAAAGTTTTAGCTCCTACCTTTAGAACTTTGATCCATTTTGAGTTAATTTTTTGTGTATGGAATAAAGTGAGGGATCTAACTTTGTTCTTTTGCAGGAGGATATTCAGTTGTCCCGGCACCATTTAAAGTAAGTTTTTCCCAATGAATTGCCAAAAATCATTTGACTGTAAACACATGGACTTATCTGTGGACTGTCAATTATATTGAACCTTGTTCTTACTGCCAGTACCACCCTGTCTTGGTTACAGTCCTTACTTTGTAGGAGGTTTTAAAAGTTTTTTCAAGACTGTTTGGGCTATTACGGGTCCCTTGCATTTCCATATGAATTTTAGGATCAGCTGGTCAGTTTCTGCATGCTGCACAGACATATACGAGCTGGGATTGTGTTCAGTTAGTAGATCAATTTGAGAATACTCCCATCTTAATTAAGCTTTCCAGTCCACAAACGTGGGCTTTCTTTCAGCAATGTTTTAGTTTCAGTATAAAAATCTTAGACTTTTGTTATTCTTTTTCCTGAATATTTGGCTCTTCCTTAATGCTATCATCTTGAATAGAATTTTCTTGTTACAGAAGTATAGTTGACATCTGCGTATTGAGATGTTCCTCCAACCCTGCTGAATTCATTTATTAACTGTAACATTTAGTTTTTTTGTGTGTGGATTCTTTAGGATTTTCTTACATACAAGATCATGTCTGTACCTAGGGAGAGATTTAATTTGTCTTTTCTAATCTGGATGCCACTTGCCAAACTTTCCTGGTCAGCGTCCCAGTACAGTACTCAATAGCAGTACTGGACGTGCTGGTGGTCTTTCTGACCTTAGGGGGAAAGCCTTCAGTCTTTCATCACGGACGACGATGTTAGTTAGCTATGTTTTGTAGACGTGAACTTCCTCACCCTGATAAAAGTAATCAGTCCGTTATTTGCTGAGTGTCAAAACAATCTTTTTTGCATCCGTTGAGATGATCGTATCAATAGAATTAATAAGGACAAGCACCCCATGGTGTGGCACATTGATTTTCAGCTGTTAGGCCATCTTTTCATTCCTCGGATTAAATCCCACTTGGTCATAGTGTAGGGCCAAACTTGAAATTATCAGTATGCTAATATTTTTACAAATCAGTGAGGAAGCAGTAGTATCAAAAATGTAAATACTAACGTACTTCACCATTACCGAAGATCTTTTCCAAATAGAGTCAGACATACAGAGGCCTAAATGCATTTTGGATTTATTGGCCCTAAAAGGAGAAAAGGTGTATGACGAGGGGAGCGTACTCAGCGGTTTCCCAGCGACTTCACTGAGAAAGCCACAGAACTTGTGCCGGGAGCTCTGTTTCAGAGTGGCAGGGCCCTTCCCTTGGGTAGAGAGAGGAGAGCGCCGTGGGCCACTGGCTGCAAGACCACCTCTTCCCGCCCCCACATCCTTCTGGGAGTTTCTCCCTGTTTCATTGGCAAAATATGCTAAAGCTCAGCATTTAACAAGATATGCACAATTTCATTCCACGGTAAAATGCATTCCAGCTGGAGTAAACCTTTCCCTGTTGAGCACTCTGCCCACATGACGCACCCAGGCCCCGTAGACTTGAAACAACCCTTCAACGATGGGGACACAGAGGAACAAACAATAACGATTTGTTTTTTAGTTAAAGATACTAACTAGTTTGTTAAAAAGTTTATTTCTGTAATGTAAGGCAACAATCTCAAGTCAGCAAACCAGTGAAAAGAGAAGACAATCAATCATTCTTCCTACAGCTTCCTGAGTTAGCAGCTGGCTATGGCCCCTTCAGTGGTAACATCTTAGAAATGCTTATTTATGTCACCTAAACTGTGGAGACACATTCTTCATGCAGCGGTCATTCATCAGTCAGACACAATGTAAACTTTAAGCATTTCATCAAAATCACAATTCTTCACATTTTCACTGTGCAGTACTGGGCTACTTACATTTGTGTTAGACTTTGGAAAGACCCTTTTAGAAATGAGTTTTGAATGAACCAATAATTGGGGAAAAACCAGTTCTTTAACCTCAGAGGCCAATGACTGATCTGACAGTGTGCTGATGAACAGAGCCACGAATATTATCTAACTACTTAACCATTTCTGGCACTAAAACAATCTGCACAAATATTAACCATGCCCTGAGACAAGTGACTTGAAAACCCAAAGATAGTTTGCAAAGGAAAATAACCTAAAGGCCAGAAGAGAACCATGGTTATTACTGAAAGGTAATAACCTCCTTCCCAAAGAGAAAAGAACTGTTAACTAACGACGTCCTTCCTCAATACGGGATTTTGGTTTTTTTCCATATAATCTATCTCAGATTAACAACTGGGACAGAAAATAATGCCTGTATTTTGAAATCCATTGAGATATTACTGTTTCTAACCTTTTGTACACAACTCTGATTCTATACAAGCTATAAACACTGGAGACCTTAACTACCACCTGACAGATTCAGAAGTCACCTGGCTTGGCAACCAGGGCAGGAGCCAGGTTCTTGCAGCACGGAGACTAATACACGGCTTCAACAAGGCTGAGGATGCATGCACGTGCCGGCCGGCAGTGCTGGGCAGGGCGGGGGCGGTGTCAGGGTTCCGGGCATCATAGGGGCAGGAGAAGCTGTGACCGAGGAAGGCCACCACACATGGCACACCCGCGACTCCAGGGATTCCGGCCTGCAACGTGCACTTGGAGTGCTCTGTGCGGGAGCAGCAGAGGGACACTTGTTCACTTCCCTATAGCTTTTCTTTAAAGTGTCTTTTTGGCCGGTGCTTGATTAACTCAGAATCTGTCCAATTTCTTCAATTTCATAATGGAAAAAGGAAGGCCAGCCAGATTTACTGCTCATCTGAGCAAACCCCTGCAGGGCCACAGCCGAGCAGCTGCGTGAGGCCCTGCCGGAGACACCTCGGCAGCCGCGTGGCCACCTTCTAAATGAAAAGCACCTCGGAGTCCTGGGCCCCGAGTCCCAGGAAGGCCGGCTGTGCCGCACAGCTGCCGAGCAACTATTAGGACCAACTAAGACTCAGTGCGTCAATAAAATTACCCCTAAAGCACGAACCTTGGAGAACAGAAGGGAACATTTATAAAATGCCCAGCCTCTCCTCACCACGCTCTCTTCCCACCCCAGGAACTCCGTGCTCAGGGGACAGAATTAAGGACAAACCTTCTGAAGCAGAAGAGCCTCCGAAAACCCAGTGGGAAGTGCAGCCCCTCTCTACAGGGACAGGGTATCCCGGGCCTCAAGAGCAGCCTCAGACAAGCATCACAAAGATGGTTCTTGAGTCCCCGACTCGGCACAGCTCCCCACCTCGGGGCCAGGGCTATAGGGCGGATGTGCAGCACACTCGCGTAGCCGCCTAAGGAAGCAGAGCTCTTGGCACAGCCCAGCCCGGGCCCTGGAAGCCCGCTGCTCGTCCCCAGCCCTTGCTGGAACTGCCTTCTACACCCCGGGTTCCGGTGCAGGGGAGTCCTCACTCGGGGAACGGCGTCTGAGCTACTGTCCGCAGCTCCAACTGGAAGCGTCCTTTGTCTAGTCAACAGTGGGCTCACGGTACCTTCTACACCTTTCATGATTCTAAGGGGACAACTACTGAAGTGGTTTGTTGGCTTTTACCCTTAAGTTCTTAGAAAATGACTTGCATGTGTAGTGGTAGGACCCACATGTGCTTAAGTGCCAGAAAACCGGCGTTTTTCAAGCGTCACAAGGGCTATGCGTCACCACCCACAGCCCTACTGTTCCGGTGCTTGGCCCTGAAGAGTGTCAGTCCGCTAAGCTCTGAAAAATCACTGACTTACATCACATATACCCACGTGACGCAGGGAGAAACCACGTCACACGAGGTATCCCTCCAGGCATGTACTTCGAGCTTGTCCAGAAGATTAAAACACAAAGAGGCTGTAGGTGCACACCCAGGCTGAGGGAAATGTCCAGTCTGGGAACTTCTCTTTCAGAGCATCCAGCTGGGAGGATCTCTTATCTTCACCAGAAAGGTAATGGGCAGCAATGGCCACGGTGACCATTCCTTCAGGTCGTTCTTCCAAGACCTAGCAGAGAGAAGTAATGAGTGCTTCAGTTCTTTAAAGGCAGCAGCATCCCAGTTTTTACCACATACCACCTGGGAGCCTGACCATGACCGCAGCAGTCCTGGCCAATCCCCACCTGCACTTCTATCCAGAACTGCCACGCAGAAGCCTGGAGCCCATGTGAGTAGAACACGAAGTAGTCGCCGCCTTTACTTGTGACTGGGGTGCCGTTGCCAAGAGACCACTGAGAAAGCGTTGACCCTTCATGGGTGCGAATGTAGAATGACATGTGGCTTGGTCCTATAAGATAAAAAAAACAGTTAATCTTAAAAAAAAAAAAAAGCATCAGAAAAAGCAGTTAATTCACCACCAAACCAGACTATGAAGGACATGCCTTCCATCACTTTAAGGATTCTCAACTACAGACCTAATGGCTTGGACATTCCATAGTTGTCAACAAGGGTAAGTAATGAGGTATGTAACAAGGCACAGCAGAAAAGGCATACAATTTACAATGACAAAATCCGTCATTTAAACATACAAGAACCTAGCACTCACGAGGTCTTCAGAAATCCAGAGAATAAACTTCATCTAACCAAGAGGGAGCTTTAAAAACTACAGAAGAACAGATAGCGATGGTTCGTTTTAACCTATCCAGACATATTTGAAGGCAATATCCTGGTGAGGGGGAAAGACCAGTGTAGCCAGTTGGTCACATCCAACACCAAGAGGGAGCTGGGAAAGCTGGATAAGCAGACTTGGAGGCCACCAACCATGGACACAGATAGTAAGAGGTGACACAGTATGTGGTCTAAACAAAAATGCACTTTCCTAAAATGCCAGAAAATGTATTTTTAATTAAAGATGACAGATCACACAAAAAGGAATATAGCAAAGCACAAAATATTGGAACAAAGTTAAGACCAAGTGAATCAGTCATAGAAATAAATGTGAATAGACCTAACTCAACAACTAAAAGAAAAAAGACTTGGCTTAATCATATACTGCATTCAAGAAACACACTTAAAGAGTTTCAGAAAGGGTAAAAATAAAGGCGTGAACGAAAATATTTCTGGCTTATGGACACAGTTTTTAAAAAGACCTTTGATATAAGGAAAAAAAAAACCAAGACAAAAGCATTAAATGTAAAAAGGCACTTTTTAATACTAAAAGCTTTAATTCACAAGGACACAAAATTGTGAATTCTGTGCATCAAGTTACAGCAACTACTTGATGAAGCAAAATACAGGAGATGCAAGAAGATATCTATATATATAGAAGGACTACAAATAAGAAACTAATACCCCACTGTCAGTACAAAATATCAGTTGAACAAAAAACCAAAAAGTGATCAGTGAAGATTATATGGATATATACATCAAACTTGACAAGCGAGTTAACACAGAACATACCTTCTAAAGTAGACATGAAATACTCCAAAGATTAACTTATAAAAGAAATACGCATTTTATAAAACTGAAATATTACAAATAACACTGATCAGAATCCAGCAAAAAAAATAACCAAATAGCCTTCTACCTGAAAATTAAATGAATTAATAAAAGACTTCCAGGAGAAAAGGGAAATCTGAACAAAAATCACTTAAGTTTTTTGTAAACAATAAAAATAACGTTATCAGAAACTACTGGGTACATGTAAAAGCAGTGACACGAGGAAAACCCACAGTAATAAACATTTTTTTCAGTAAAAAGTACAACAAAGAGAAAAAACGAGGGAAATATTACAGATGAGCAAAAACCAGAAACCAAGAAAAGAGAAACTAGAAACAGACCTAACTGAATAAAAAATCTGCTAATTTTTAGAATTAACTACTACTAGGTAACTTCGTTAAGAAAGAGGTGGGGGTGGGGAGTTGAGAAAACAGAAGTATACAAAAAGAGTAAGAAAAACAGGAAAATGTTTAAAATCACATGTGACTACAAGCAGACCTCTATAGACTATTAAAATTGGAAACCCAAATGCAGTGGAGACTTTTCAAGGAAAAGTCAGATTACTAAAACTATTCAAGAGAAAGATAAATCTTAAGCAGACCAATTTCCCAAGAAAAGTTAAGAAACTACCCCCACACACACAAAAAAAAAAACCTCCCAGATGGTCTAAGAGAGGAATTTAAGCCAACTTTTCAACCAGTTCAGATGCTTCCTGAGCTGTTCCCAGGCACTGGAAATTAAGGAAAACTTAACCATTTTTATAATGTTTATACATTTATAATGTGTAACACATACCTAAATCTGATTAAAGAGTACAGTGTATCACTCGGGAGTATTAACACAAAATCTCTAAATTGTAGCAAGCAATCCAACATCACATGAAGAAAATAAGCTGTGACCTAGTGGAATAAACCATGTTCAAAGACCCAAGGAAGAAACCCTAGGATATAAATGCTTAAAGTCTTTTCCAAAATTAAAAACCATTCCTTATAAAAACATTCAAAGAAATGACCATTGATAAATACTTGCTTAGCAGGATACGAAATATACACCCTGGACCTAAGGCTAGATTCTCACACGTTGGGAAATACGAGAGACCTGTGTTCTAAGTAAAATAAGGACACTTGCTCACTCCGTCCACAGCTGCTCCACACCATGTAAGCAGTTTTTCAGCCACTTAGACCCATCCGTTACAGGGCCAGGAACTGGTAAAGAAGAAAGACTTTTTGCAGACGATACAGCATAGTCAACAAGCTATATGCTTGAGGTCTAAGGCTAAGAATGGTTGTTACGTATTTAAACAGTGGTTAACAAAAAAAATCTACAACGGGGACATGTGGCAAAGCCTAAAATACTTACTATCTGGCCATTTAAAGGTTGGCAATTTCTAGTATACCTACCTGGAGAATTCTAGAGGATGATTAACACAGAAACTAAAAGACTCAGTGAGTAGTCAAGATATAAAATTGACCTACAGAAGTCAGCTGCCTTTACACAAACAACATAACCAGTTAGAGAACATACGGTAGAGAAAACCCCAATTAGGACAGTCACAAAAACTAGATGAGGAAACATCTTTTAACACTTCTGAAAGACAAAGAAGTAGATCTGAACATGTGAAAAGACATTCCGAGTTCATGGATAGGGTAACACCACCACGTCAATTCTCCTTCATTTAAAAACTTATTATGATACTCCCCAAAACACCACTTGGTAATAAATTCTATGTCAGAGGTTAATACCTAAGTTCATATGGAAAAACAAAACATGCAAAAATAGCAAGGAAAACAATAAAAACTACAAAAGATTTTCACCTTCACAATCATTAAGCTACAAAGCTTCTATAATTAAAAATATGGCAACTGGTACACAGACCCACACATAAGCTGTCAAATAACTTTTTTTTCTGATTTCCTGACATTTATAATCACAAAACATAGGGCAGTAGATGTGCAACTTGCCTACCAGGACCCTGAATTTTACTGGAATTCTACAAATTGTACATAAAGGATAGAGGTTTGGATTTTTCTATGCTTCCTTTTTACAAGCTGCTGACTAAATAAAAATCAGAAATAATTATTGGCATGAACAAGAAAATGAGTTGGTGCAAAATAAGTTTTTTCCAATTAAATTTTAAAAGCCTAGAGAAAACAAAAGTATCCACCTTTGAAAGCATCAGCTAAGGCACTGAATTCTCGGCAAGGGCTTCATTTCACCGGTTAACTATGAAGTTTTAATACTTCTACCATCTTCTGTCTGTCCTCCAGCTTTCTTTGCATACTAGATATTCAGGTCCCTTCGGTGTTAACTATACCTTAGCACAATAAGTAATTTACATTTTACTGTAAATAAAATGGCAACAGTCATCAAAAAATATCTAAAAACAAGCTACTAGTGAGCAAGAAAGCTCAGTAAAAAGTGGGCAAAATCTGAGGTGTACACAATCTGATAATTTTGACAAAGATGCCAAAACAATTCAACAGGGTTTTTTTCCAACAGATACTGCTAGAACAACTGGATATCCATTTAAAAACAAAACAAAAAAACAAACCTTGGCCTCTACCTCACACCATACACAAAAATTACTTCAAGGTATATCACAGGCCTAAACATAACAGCTATGAAGCTTCTAGAAGGAAACATGAGAGTCTTATCTTTGCTGACCTCTGGGTAGGCAAGATTTTTTTTTTTAGAAAGGTCATATAAAGTATTTATCCTAAAGAAAAACCTGATAAATTGGAATTCACAAAAATTTAAAATTTGAACACATCAAATGACCCCTTTAAGAAAATGAATGGACATGGGGCACCTAGGTAGCACAGTAGGTTACGCATACGACTCGATTTCAGCTCAGGTCATGATCTCATAGCGTCGTGGGTTCGAGCCCCACATTGGGACTCTGCACTGGCAGCATGGAGCCTGCTTGGGATTATCTCCCCCTGTCCCTCTCCCACTCATGCTTGTCTCTGTGTCTCTCTCAAAATAAATAAACTTAAAAAAAAAAAGTGAATGGACAAGAACATCTAGATAAAATACATATCTGATAAAGGATTTTGATCTGAAACAAGCACTCCTGTAAGTCAATAAGCCTAGTTTTTAAAAGAGAAGAAAAAAATGAAGAAACAAAGCAAGATCCCTGAATGGCATGTTCCATGCCATTACTTACTATAAAAATACCAGGCCTACTACTAAATGCCCGCCAGAAATGGTACGATGGGAAAGAACAGCAAATACCGGACAGGATGTGGAACAACTGGAGTTCTCATACACGACTTGTGGGGAACAAAATACTAATACTCAAAAAAACATAGCTCAATCTCAAGAACAGACCCCCAAATACTACAAACTGGATGATTCCATTTCTATGAAGTTCAAGAATGGTACAAAGTGAACAGCAGCAGGAACTCTTCAGAGTGAACTTCCTGTGTGAGAGCTCTCCAGAGACACAGAACCAATCCTCCATATTAGCAAATCAAATCCCACAAAGTATAAAATGAATTAAATACTACAACCAGGCGGAATTTATTCCATGTATGCAAGATTGACCTGGCCTCTTAAAACCAGTTAATATAATCCATCACAGCAACAGGCTAATGAAGAATCACATGGTCTTATCAGCAAACAGAAGCATGTGACAAAATCCATTCACAGTCAAAGCTCTGCAAACTAAAAGGGGAATTTCTTCAACCTGATAAAGGGCTAACTAACATCATGGTAAAAATGTAGAAGCTTTCTCACTAAGATCAAGAACAGGGCAATGATTCCCACTTTACTATGCCTCTTAGCACTCTTTCGAAATATTAGAAGTCCTAGCTAATGCAGTAAGACAAGAAAAAGCAATAAAAGATAAAAGATTTGTAAAGGAAGAGATAAAACGTCTCTGTGGACGACATTATTATGTATGTAGAAAATCCCAAAGAATCTACCAAAAAAACCTCCTGGAACTAATAAACCATTATGTCAAAGTTGCAGTCTACATGTTTAATAGTATCAATTGTTCCTACACACTATCAGTGAAAAATCCTACTCACATTAGCATCCCCCAAAATTTAATACTTAGGGACAGATCTAACAAAAGTTGTATAGAATCTGTATGAGGAAACTACAAAATATAGTTCTGATGAAAGAAAATAAATGAGATATTCAATGTCACAGATAGGAAAAAATATTAAGATGTGATTTTTTTTTTTAAAGTGCTTATTTATTTTGAGATAGAGGGAAAACACGAGTGGGGGAGAGAGAATGAACAGCCCAAAGCCTGACTTGGGGCTCAAACCCACAAACTGTGAGATCATGACCTGAGCTGAAATCAAGACTAAGATGCTTAAGTGACTGAACCACCCAGGTGCCCCTAAGATGTCATTTTCCCCAACTTAATCTATAGATTTCAATGCGTTTCCATTTAAGAATCCCAGAAAGTTAGGGATGCCTGGGTGGCTCAGTCGGTGAAGCATCCGACTTCGGCTCAGGTCATGACCTCACAGTCTGTGAGTTCGAGCCCCGCGTCAGGCTCTGCACTGACAGCTCAGAGCCTGGAGCCTGCTTTGGATTCTGTGTCTCCCTCCCTCTCTTTTCCTCCCCTGCTCACAGTCTCTCTCTCCCTCTCAAAAACAAAGATTAAAAAGTTAAAAAAAAATAAAGAATCCCAGAAAGTTATACTGTGGATATGGACAAACTGATACATGGAAAGACAGAAGACAGTATACTGAAGAAGAATAAAGTCTGAGAGGATGGATACCACCCACCTTCAAGACCTGATCAAGACAGCATCCTGATGGCAAGAGACAAACACACACGTAAGAAGAACAGAATAGAAAGCCCAGAAACAGACCCATACAAATATAGTCAAGTGACTGCTGACAAAGAAACAGGTTATTCAGGATAGATGGACAGTCTTTCAACAGATGGTACTGGAGCACCAGTAATCCGCAGGGAAAGCAAAAAAAAAGAAAGAAAAAAAATAGACCTTACAACTTGCACATAAATTAATTCAGAATGTATCGATCACAGACCTAAATATACAACACGAAGCTAAACTTGTAGAAGATAACATCAGAGAAAATCCAAAGACCTTGGATTTGGCAATGACTTAGACACAACACCAAAATCGTGACCCACGAAAGGAAACCTGATTACGGTGGGACTTAATTATTAATTTAAAGCCTTACACTCTGTGAAAAACACTGTTAAGAGAATGAAAAGATAACCCAGACCGGGAGAAAATATTTGCAAACCATTATCTGACTTCTAACCACATACACAGAGAACTCTTAAACTTCAACAGGAAAAACCAAACAGTCCAATTAATAAACAGACACCTCACCGGAGGAGACACACAGGTGACAACCTACAAAAAAGCTGCTCATCATCACAGGTCATTAGGAAATTGCACATGGAAACAGTAAGATGCTACCACATCGCTGTGGGAAAGGCTAAAAAGTCCCCAACACCGCACCAGATGCTGGTGGCCATGCGGGATGGTGCAGCCGTACTGGAAGGGGCCGCAGTGTTTACAAAGGGAAATCTAGGCTAACCATACTATCTAGCAACTGCACCCCTCGGTTTTTTACCCCAGTGAATTCAGGGGCGTCTGGGTGGCTCAGTCTGTTACGTGTCCTACTTCGGCTCAGGTCATGATCTCGCCATTTGTGGGTTCGAGCCCCGCGTCAGGCTGTGTGCTGACAGCTCAGAGCCTGGAGCCTGCTTTCGATTCTGTGTCTCCCTCTCTCTCTGCCCCTCCCCTGCTTGCGCTCCCTCGTTCTTTCAAAAATAAACATTTAAGAAAAAACAACAAATGAGGCGAAAACCCTGCAATCAAGATGTTCTTCAGTAGGTGAACAGATATACTGTGGTACCTCCACAGCACCATCCAGCAGTAAAAAGAAACGCGCTACAAGACAGGAGGGCTCACACTGCTGCATGAAAGAGGGCGGCCTGAAAGGGGGGCAGACTGTATGACTGCAGCTGTGTGGTCATCTGGAAAAGGCAAAATAGTAGAAACAGTAACAAACATCAGTGGATACCGGAAGGGGCTGACCCGGGGTGCACAAGACTCTCAGGGCAGGGAATCTACTTTGTCGGATATGGGGGTACATGACATTACACATTGTTAAAACCCACACAGCGATGCAACACAATGAGCAAGCTGAACCTTAATATGAACCAGTGGCCGTAATTAGCACTCAGTACTGGCTCCTCAGGTTTGAGAAGTACCCTACGCTCTAACGCAAGGTGTTAAGAAGGGAGGTGGGGGAGGGGAGCTCTACTTTCTGCTCAATTTTTCTGTGAACCTAAAATCTGCTTTAAAAAAATAAAGTCTAGGGGCGCCTGGGTGGCTTAGTCGGTTAAGCGTCCACCTTTCACTTAGGTCATGGATCTCGTGGTTCGTGGGTTTGAGCCCCGCGTCGGGCTCTGTGCTGACTGCCAGCTCGGAGCCTGGAGCCTGTTTCAGAGTCTGTGACTCCCTCTCTCTCTGACCCTCCCCTGCTCACGCTGTCTCTGTCTCTGTCTCTGTCTCTCTCTCCTAGAAATAAATAAAACATTCAAAAAATTTAAAATAAATAAATAAAATAAAAAATAAAGTCTAATTTTCCTCAATAAATCATTATCAATCTGCTTCAAGTACTTTTAGAAACATGCCATTCTTCCTAAGGTGCGGTTATTATTATTTAAAGAAAAAGTACACATACTTATTAAGAATTTTAAAAAGAGGAGGAGAGAAGAAAAAACTGTCCCATGACTTACCTGTTGCTTCAAACGTCAGCTTAATAGAATCCCAGGGTGTCTGTTCTTTGGACACGAGTCTGAACTGAGCAGGATTTCCTGGAGAAACTTCTGGGGCAGGAAGATACCAGTTTTTCCTATTTGGAAAGGGAGCTTCAATATTTAGGATGCTTAATTAGTTGACAGCTATCTATAACTCATGTACATGGTCAAAATTTATCAGTCACATTTTGGGGTATGGAAATAAACTGGGGGCGCCAGAGTGGCTCAGTCAGTTAAGTGTCCGACTCTTGATTTCAGCTCAGGTCATGGTCTGGGGATCAGGCCCCACATCAGGATTCTCTCTGCTACTCCCCACTCTTGCTCTCTCTCAAGAGAAAGAAACTCTGATGGATAGAATAAACCATGCTATTACTCTAAAAGCCCAGGTTAAAACTTGCCCAAAATTAAGACCAAAGGATCCTAGGTGATCTTGACCCCACTACCCATCCTATTTCTTGTTATCCAACCCCTTACTGCCAAACCATAAAAACTTCCCAGAAATAAAAGTGTGAAATTAATACCTAACTGCTACAGACCAGCTGAGAGGGCCAGCCTTTCTAACTACTCTGGTCTCCAGAGGAAAGAATTTCCTAAACGTGGAAAGGCGACAGTAAGCTTTGGAGCGCTCTGTCTCACTAAAGGAGAACTTGGGCCGTGACAGGGAACACAGTGTACCTGGCACTTGACCTCTGTGTTCACCAGCTGCAGTGATGAAGTACTCGCTTGGTGACGGGACCTGAGAACTAACCCCCAACCAAAGCAGCAAAGGAGTGAGCCCACCTGATCAGAAAGTGCACCGGGAGGTACCACGGGAAGCCACAGAGGGGCGCGTTCTCCTCACAGTGAGCTCGGATGCTGTCGTTGATCTCTGGGATGTGAGGTGTTATGTGAGACATCCCAGTGTAATCAAACCCGTTGATCCAGATTCCAGAGTCCCGCTTGACTATGTTTCCGTCCAGGTCATGAAATGTTCTAGTCACATGCTGGGAAGAAGTGACTGATGAGAAGATGACTGACTACCTCAAACACCCCCCCACCCCCCCGCAGAGGAACAGACACAGGACATCTGCCCCAGCAAGAAGCGGCGTGGCTGCGGGGCCACGAGAGGCCCTCCCGCACTGCTGCGGGGGCGTGAGCTCGCAGGGCCACTTCAGGAAACTGCCTGGCGGCACCTCGACGTGCACACAGCCGTCGAGCCAGCAGTCCCACCGTGAAGGGGTACTCAGAGAACCTCCCGGAGGTACAAGAGCTTTGCTTTGGCGCTGCCTGTCTTAGCGAAAACTGCCAACACCCCGAACGCCCACCAACGGCACAACGGACACATAACGGGGGCATCACCCCCAGAAGTCGGCCACACCACAGTGACACAGCAGCGTGCAAGCTTCTCACATGCTGCTGGCAAACAAGCAAGTCACAAATGCATATTTGAGGTAGGGCCGTATCAGGAAGCTATTCACAAAGAGGCAGACGGTATCTTATGTAAGGATTCGTACATACGTGGTAAAGAAAAACAAGATAATAATTACTCCTGGACTTCAAGACCGAGAATGAGTACATCCCTGGGGGGTCAGGAGGGGGGAGAACTGGGAGGAAGGGCACTCAGGTTTTACGAGGTGCTGTTTAATGTTCTTTCTTTTGCACTTGACAATTGATACACAGATACAGTTTCATTATTTCTTACAAATATATATTTAAATTGCATTAAAACGTTTTTGAAGACCTATTTCAGAGTTAAAAGACATGGGCACTAAAACCGCATTTAGGGGCGCCTGAGTGGCTCAGTCGGTTAAGCATCTGACTCCGGCTCAGGTCATGAACTCACAGTCTGTGGGTTCGAGCCCCACGTTGGGCTCTGTGCTGACAGCTCAGAGCCTGGAGCCTGCTTCAGATTCTGTGTCTCCCTCTCTCTCTCTGCCTCTCCCCTGCTTGCTCTCTGTTTCTCAAAATAAAGACATTTAAAAAAAAAAAAAACCGCATTTAGATATAGGCCACAACCAAAAGCATCCCAAGATGAGAAGACGCGCGTGCGCACACAATATCTCCCTGTGACCTGAAGCTACCTCCCGCTGTCACCACTAGATGTCAGACTTGGGCCTAACGTTTCTACGAAGAGGCGCCAGGCTCCATCTAGAACAGCTTCATTAACCACAGAAACCAGCAGAAAGAATATCAAACTGGAAGAGAAAGCCCACTGCCAGGCTCGCGAACAGCTCCACCGGAACGCGGCCACCCTCGCTCGCTCAGGCACGTCTGCGGCCTCTGTGCTGTGCCGGCACACAGACCGCACGGCTGGCAGAGCCTGAAGTATTTATTACCTGGCCCCTTTCGGGAAAAGTCTGCCAACTTAAGAGAACCCCAAACAAATCAGGAGTTTTTAAAAATAAAAATGTAGCTTTTTCTAAATACAACTGATGTAATTATGCAAATTTAGGAAGTCACTGAAAGCACACTGAATCTAAAAACTAGCTGTTTGTCACTAAAGGTTTGGCAAATTGTAAAGTCACAGAAAGCGTGTGGCTGTGTCCTCCAGGACCATAAACAAATAGTCGGCCCTTTTCAGTATCTCCTCCCTGCTGTTTACATTCTAGTTTTGTTATTAACTTATTCAAGTCCCTGAATAATTACCTAGGTTATCATTTGGCTTTTTTTTTTTTCCTTTTTTTAATTTGTTTTTCAAAGTAAGCTTTATGCCCAGTGTGGGGCTTGAACTCTGACCCAGAGACCCAAGAGTCACTCACTCCTCAAGTGACCCTTGAAGCTGGCTTTTCTGTTTACCCTCGCACAACCTCTAGGAAAATGAGCAGAAACTTAGATTTTCCTCCTGCTTTACAGAGCCAACTCTAAAATGTCTGCAGAAAAACCTAAAATCTCAGACAGTCCTAAATCTCACAATTAGTCTCTAAGTTATTATACTTTCATTATGACCTATTACCTTACACCACCTGAGAGCACTTTTACTAGCACTTTAAATTAGCTTTTACTTTGCCAGTTGCGTTCAGAATTTTACTCAGCCCAGACATTTTTACCGTCTGCACTTCTAAAAGCTCCTCACCCAGGGCACATACTTGCTCTTGTTCTGGGCAGGTGCATCAGATCACCGCAACAGGGACAAAACAAGGGGACATTTCCAACTCAGTGTCTCGGGAGAAGGGTGTCTCGCTGATAGAAAGCCTCCTCGTGGCCCAGCCTGAACGGCCGAGGACAACTACGTAGGTCAGGAGCAGGGAAATCCGCTGGACTTGGCACTGAGCCAAGAAACTGCTCACCTGCAGAAACACCCTCTTCGGCTTCGGGCTGGCCGGATGCGAGCTGTACGGGAAGAACGCCCCACCGCAAACGAGGAGAAACGTAACGGCACACACCACAGTTAACACCAGCATGGTTCTTTTCGTGCTTCTGGCAAGGTAGATGAAGTTAATCTAAAACAGAGAACACAGAAACAGGAAAGTTACCATCAGCAGAGAGGTGCACTTAAGCTGCCCTCACTTCGGAAGGGGGGTTACTGGCCAATCGTCAGAAGTGCCCATGGGCACGTGCTAGCTCGCCGAGGCACCAACTGACAGGCTCAAGTTGGGGGGCGGGGGGCAGGGGTCTGCAGGGACCAGGGGTGGTGCCTTTGACGGGCAGCCAGCCAGGGAGGGAGTAAAGGAAACAGAGATGGGGTCTCAGTTCAGTTGGCAAAGACACCGGGATGGAGACCCCGCTCCAGTCAACCTGTGACCTTACTGTGTCTCTGACCTTGTCAGCACCCCTAGTTAACCCCTGCACGGTAGACTCCAACTACCTGCCAAACATCATGTCAGGTTTTTATGAAAGAACTGGAGGCAGGATTTTAAGCACAAGCCAGCCTATTTCAACAAAACTCAAGTTCCACTTCCAATACTTCTGTTATGTGCCAACAACACGTCCGCTTCATCTCAACCTGATGCACCTTTAAGACTCTCCCTGCCGGCCTGCACATAAGGGAAGCCTGCAGTGCAAAGTAACACCGTCTAAAATAGCAGATCTGAACTTGGGCAGGAAAGGCAAGCGGCTCGGTCTCAAGGTGAGCATCTAGAACACCCTATATATGCTTCTACGAGCTTGTCAATGGTAACGAGATCACTGAATAAAAATTGCAGGGGACACACACGTCTCACAGAAGACGTCCACAGATCCCTCAGGGGTTCGGGAGGCGCCGCACTGACCCAACCCCTGCTCCCCCTTACACTCACCCTCTAGGCCTGGCAAGTAAAGGAGTGAAGAACATGATGCAGAAACTCAGGCAACCCTCCATAACCAGCCATAAACCCCACTATGTAAAATCAGAGGATTCTGCCCACAGCGCAGCAGTGTTCCATCCGGGGTGACGTCGAGCAAGACAACGCTGGTCTTAGGACAAAGACCCGACGTTTCCAGGCTGCGAGCACAGAAACGAGACCGCACCCAAGGAGCTAGGGGGGTGAGTTTGCGAAACCCGATCTGGGACCCTGTCTCAAGTACCTGCCAGGTCAGGGCGCAGAGTCTCTCGGACAAAATACACCCTGCCCGTCACGACGCGTGGTGCCTGCTCCGCCCTGCTCCTACCCAAAGCTGTCCTCCAGCCCCATGGAGGCTCAGCCTCCACATCCACCTTCTCTCTTCTCCAAACCGTGACGCTCATCTGCCCTGTCCTTGCATTTTCTGGAAGAGGTTTGCTAATGGGGGCGAGTGAAATGCAGTCCTAGAGCGGAGGAGGAGGATGGCCTACGTGACGATGTGTCTGGATTCCACTATCTTAAATTTCACTTTTATTCCTGCCTTAAATGTCACGTCCATCACCCAAGGTTCCGAAATGGGTGCAAAATAAAATGAAGAGAAGCACGAGAAGGGTCTGTGCGGCGTCTGCGTGTGCTGGCTGTCTTGCTCCCCGAGAGGGTCCCAATGTCACCCAGGACAGCTGGGGACACCTGCTGCCCCCCCCCACCAGACAGAAGAGTGCCCGCTTCCTGACAAGTATACTTCTAAACCTCCAAGGACTGAAAGGAAAGCTTTCTGAAACCCGCATTCCGGTTCAGTTCACGGTCGGAGGAGCGCGGGCCAGCTCTGTCCTCAGCCGCCCTGACGCCGCTACACGTAAACACGCAATCACGGACAGACTGACGCCCCCAGAGTCAAAGAGCCGCCCCACCACTTCGCGCTATGATGAAAACTAAATGAGGTTTCCGAATGTTCCAACAGGCGTTCTCCTAAAGCTTTCCTAGTAAACTAGAATCTAGCAGGGAATATACTGTCATCTTCTTTCTCCAAGATTTCCTTACTTTGCAGTCATTTTCAGTTTCCACAGTGAAGGTTTCAGGGTTTAGTCTGTCCAGTTCCACGTGGGACAGAACTGAAATGCCCCACATTCTGATCATCTCCTATGAGCCTTCATCCACTGGCCCTGATTTACACACACTGGAGACCCAGTTTCTGACTGAGCGGATTCTGGACCAGAACCTAATCTGCATATGACAAAACCCCACCAACTCCGTTAACCCTCACAGTAGCAAAACCATCTACTAACAGGTACAGAGAATTTAAAGGCTTAAAAATAAAATCAAAGGATATAAACCCTGAAGACAACAAAGAACAGTTTAGGATTTTCCATCCACCCACCCCTGAAAATGCCAGTAAGGACTTAATGACTGTATTACAGGCAAAATGGCTGGAATGCCCACACTTATTTTAGCTGAGCGCACGCAACAGTGTGCATAAGAACCGCTCTCCAGGGCTACAAACACAGGTGTGCGCACAGCTATTTACTGCCAGTTAAAGGACTTCCATGGACAGTGCGGGCCACACAACGTGGTGTTCTTACCTGCTCTCTCTCAATCCTGACCTCCATGAGATGCGCTTTTCTGAATCAATGTGAAAAGGCTCACCATCATCTCCATGGAGGAAAGCACTATAACGAAGTCACAACTACTCTTTCTATTTAGCCCCAAGCTGCAAATCCTGCAGTGTGCTTGTGGGTGTTCCAGAATTACTTCCTATTATTCACATTTCCAACAGAAAGAGCCACAACCCAGACACCAGTCTCTGCCAGAGGGGCCAGACCGGAGTCCTGGAGAGTACGGATGCCACGCTGAGGGCAGAGCTGGCCCGGAGCCCGCTCTAACACAGGGCGGTCCACATGGGGTCTGCCGGCTCTCCCTGCAACGGCAGAACGCTGACAGCAGAGTGACGAAGCCTGTGACACCGAAGCATACGAGGCCACCACCCGAGGAGACAGACTCTGAGGCACTAGCAGCTGGGTGGCTAAGCAGCCAGTTGAGTGGGGGTTGAATGGAAAGAGCATCATCAGAACCAATCTCCCTCTACCAGCTCTAAGAGCACTAATAAAACCACCATGTATGTATTAACCTTTGCCTCTAATTAGGAATCATTCTAAAAATCCACCACCAACCAATCTCTACCAGTTCTCACTCGGCATGCGTTCTACAAATTCACGTTCAGGTGGCTGGAAGGCCAGAGGACTTGGGAGGACCAGGACACAAAAATAAAACCCCATGTCCCATCTTCTTACTACACTGAACCCACATTCTGCACATGACTGTTTCTTTTGCTTAAGTGTTTCTAAGTATAAGCAACACTATTTCACACAATCGACTGTGTATAAACTCATCACATATTCATATAAAAACGAAAGGAAGAAATATTTTAAAATGTCTTTTCCTTACAAAATAGGAAGACAGGATCATCGTACAACCAGCCAAAATGGAAGCCAGCACAACGTCAGGTGGGATTTCCGTACCACTCCTCCCGAGGATGGGGGTAAACATCTCGAATACCGCCCAGATGAGGTACAGTGCGTAAAGATAAGGAATAAACATCCCCAAGAAGTACAAGGCAATAAACTTTCCTTGGGCACCTAGGGAAAAAGAGGAAGAAAGCACACATCCCTGAAATTCTACAGTGAGACAAAGACTTGCACAGTACCGGTGGACCTAACGGAGAACATTTCACTCAGGGACATTAAAATACAAGAAAGAATGAAATGAAACATGTAGGTAATACATTAGCATGCACTCATAAATGTGAGAATGGGATGGGGTAATAAGGTAGAAAATAAAAATCTATGTGATCGGAAATTTAAAAAAAAGAAAAACAGCAACAACCTTGAAAGCCTCCCCCAAAGACCAAAAAAAGAAACAATTCCCGCAAGTCTTGTCTTATTCATATTACGGTACTTTCCCATTTGCATAAACACCCCATATGCCGTACCATGCTGCTTAAAGTCCTTGTGCATGCAAAGCCTGGTGAGCAAGGGAAACGCCACCCAGACAGCACTAATAAACGCCGAGCAAAGTCCTTGATACGTGAGCGCCGTAAGGGAAACACAATGCACAAACAGCGAGATGTCGAAGAATACTTCTCCCAGATACCGGTCGCTGGCATTCTGAAAGAAAGAGAAATATACCAGTGATCTCATCCATGGGCCATTCATAAAGATCTTCTATTGTGATAAAATGTCCATCAATCAGATGACTTACATTTTGTTTTAAACAGTGTCTTAACTTTAAACACTCACTACTTCTTGTCATAACATACGAATTTAAATTGCTGCACAGGAAAGAGGCATTTAGGTAAATGAGGTAAAAACATCATTACTTGTGGGCCGCCTGGGTGGCTTAGTTGGTTAGGCTTCCAACTTTTGGTTTCAGCTCAGGTCATGATCTCACGGTTCATGGGTTCGAGCCCCACATCAGGCTCTCTGTTGTCAGCGTGGAACCTGCTTTGGATCCTTTGCCCCCTTCTCCCTCTCCCTCCCTCTCTCTCAAAAATAAACAAACACTTAAAAATAAAACAAAACAAAACATCGTTACTTGTATGCAATCTGTGCTTTTCTTCCACTGGGCTAAAAACCTTTGGAAATTTCCTAAAATGGAAGAAACGGCTCTCCTAAAAAATTCACCCCTGTAAGCTTTTCTATTTACACACCTTCCAAAGGTGAGAAATGACTTGTGAAGAACAGCACCACCGGCAACACGCCTAGAGAACTGCGGGCCCTTCAGGGACCTGGCCATCTGGGGTTTGGCTGAGCTCCCGGGTCTCTTCCTCCTCTACCTGGTCTTGTGGTGCAGCTCGGCCCCCACCCTGATTTCTGGGGGCCTTCACGTTCAGAAATTTCATTGTATATCTGGGCTTTGAAGTCTGAGGAGGCCCGAGCGGCACCCCGAGCTCCTCAGAAGGAAGCTGCCATTCACCTCTCTCAGCGTCTGCACCAGAGATTCCATTAACATAACCATGGAAGTTATCATTTCAGTGCAAAAATCCCAAAATGGAATAACCCAAGGCACGTGGGTTACTTCGAGAGCTCAAAACAGCTCAGTCACGTGTTTTCGAAAGATGCTCAAGTTCCTTTGACAAACCCGCTCGGAAACGAAAGGCTATCGCTGCTACACACTTAGACGTACAAAGCCCTGTGCAGAGGCACCATCTTTCTGCTGCAGCCGAGTACCGCCCACAGAATGTAACTGTACCCAAAGATCAGAGACGTCCCTCACGTCCATCTCCCCCTCCCACCTCTGATCCCTGCCCCCCTGCCCGCTGCCGTCAATCTCTGCACTGTCACAGCCGCAGGCGCCCTCCCTGAGATCCTGCTTAGGAAACGTTCCTGGCAGCCTCACTGATCTTCAGCTTCACGTGGGCCCGCTTTCCAAACAGTTACTGGGCCACCACTTCGTCTTCAGCACACTGAACTTACTGATTGTGACTGTGTCCCATATGCATCCTGGGCGCTCCCACCTGACCACCATCTGCCACGCTTCCGCTCCTGCTCCGACACCCAGTTCCCACATCACCACCTCGTTCGCAAAGCCTTCCTGACCTCCACGAACTGACTCGTCCGTCCCGGCCCCGTACGGCTACAGCCCAACAGGCCATTCTTTCACCTCATCCCAAGGTACCGCGACCACGGGTCTCCCCCGCTCCCCAAATCAAACCGTGAGCTCCTCCAAGAAAGAGACCCGTCCTTATGAATCTCTTCCCACGAGGCCATCGCGCACGGCCAGGCCCACCGGGCTGCTCGGAGAATATCTGTGAAATAAACACATTTTCTTTTCCATTGTGCTTTCAGCCCCAAGGTTCATGATCAGACAACTGAAATTAGTCAAAGTAAATGGAACTTTACTCATAAGCATTTCTGTCTCCGGCCCCCTTGCCACGTTAACAACGACCCCCACACGCAGGTAAAACACCACTGCACTAAGAATAAGCATGTGAACTTGAGCTCCACAGCACAATCCTCTTGGACACAAAAGCCACTAAGACACAAGTGTTAGTTCATCCATACAAATGGCCAGCTTCAAAGGGCCTCTCTTGAAGGTCGGCATGGAAGGCGTCCTCAGACCACAGCCTAACGTCAACTGAAACGGACAGCAAGGTTCATCCACGGTCTAGCACCAAAGACGTCTTTGTGGAGAGACACCGGAGTGTCCTGTTCTGCGTCTGTGCTCTAATCCTGGCAGGGCGAACTGAAAACACCAGTGCACACTGGCAGTCTGGAGAACATACATGGGAGCTGATAGATTTTTCCCTTTAAGTCCCTCAGAAAATCTTCAGAAACCACGGGTCACTCCCCCACTGTAATTCACGGAGTCCTGTTAACAGCTGAAACCATAACAATGTGGCCATATAATCATTCTGGAACCCTATCACCCTTCCCTCTTTTTTCCTTCGGAGGTGACCCCCGCCCAGCACATCTGCATGCTGTCAGAATCTGCATTAACACACGGGCTAAAAGAAAAAACAAAGTGAAGGAAATGGAAGAGAAACTCCAAGTGCAGCCTCAGGGCCACATGCTTCCTGCGTGTCGTCGGCGCCACGCGTCCGAGCACAGGCCCTGTGCTCCCTCATGGCCCAACAGAGGACGGAGCTGCTCACACGAGGAACGGGCGAGCCCAGGGAGGGCTGTGGGACCCAAGCGCACAGGGACACATTGAAGCAGATTCGGCCTCCCTGTCAACACCACCCAAATACCCTGCAGCTTGGTAACGGCACCGGAAGCCCACAACAAAACCCTCCGAAGCGGCAGCCTTCCAGAACCAACACAGCTCGGGGAGCCAGTTTCCTAATCACGCCAAACAATTTCTGACAGCTCCACAGGCCAAATACATGAAGCCCCCTGGAGTCTGTCTCCAATCCCTGACGGCAGCAAAAAGAAATCAATGAACATGCCTAACACTTACCATGTAGTAAAATCGTTTTGCGAGGGTGTGGATGAGGATGATTTTGGCTGCGGCTACAGTTCCGTACAGACAGACGGACACGTAGAAGTGGTTATACCACGAGAGGGACCGTCCGATGAGAGAGATGAACACGGCTATGATGAGAACGGTGACCAGGCTGGTGAACCAGCTCACCAGAGTGATGCCGAGCCCGCAGAGGAAGTCCTTCGTGTAGGTACCAGCTGGACACAGGACACAGAGGGGGTGTCACCACCTTTACCAAATCAATCTCAGAGCAGTCAGTAGAGTTAAAAGGGCAAACATCAAAACAAAACAAAGAACCCAGCACTGTAACTGGAAAGTAATAGAAAGTACTGGAAGGTACTGAAATGCCCTGGGGGTGATGTGTTTTAAAAGCCTGAACAGGGAAGGTTACTGACGATTAACATCCAAGTAACGTTTACAGAGAGTCTGGGCACTAAGGACCTGGAGACAGAGGTCGTCAGGAGCAGCTCGGACACACTCCTGAGCAGGAGAGCAGGGCGCTTTCATCTTCGTCAGCTTTGTGATGCTCCGTGTATGGAAACAGCAGCTGGAAAGGAAGGCCAAGTTCCCCACGAAGCCTGCTGGGAAGCTAACGCCGGAGCAACAGGGGTACCCGGCCACGTAACCGGGGTAAGGCGCGGCTGCATGGCTTATCTCGTTACAGCCTAGACCCACTGCGACAATGAAACGTTCCAAGCAGAAGGAAACTAATTTAAGCAGGAGCACTAGAGTCAGACTTCACAACAGTGCACTCACGCCCCGTGTGAGGTGTGGACAAGACTTTTTAATGAGAGCTTTCGCTCACAGTCCATGTGTACGAACCACTTTGCAACAGCTCCTCTGTGGTGCTTCTGTGCATTAAGTACATAAAAACCTCCTGCTTCCCCAAGACCCAAACTGTAATGGGCACATTCATCTGATAGTCATTTAGGACCGTCTTCCAGTATAAATCAAATGTTATTTTTAAGATTTTACGCTTCTTGAAAAAATACAGGCAAACGGACTACAAAACCTTCAGGCGAATTCTTACACCCAGGCCAGTGTCGCAGCTGTAGAGGAAAATACTTACTCTTGTGTTTGGGCTGCAACAGTTTCTTGCCCAAGTACAGCACTACCGCCATTACCACCATGTAGTTAATTATGGAGCCGACACGAGAGGGGTAGGCGATGACAAACAGGCCAAGCACGTCAAAGAAGACCATGTTTCCATGGCGATACTTTGAAGAAGAAGGCAACATATCAGATGTAGCTAGATATTTAAGAACGGCTAAGATGTTGTCACCTATCAGTAAAGAAAAGAAAGATAACGAAGTTGAATACGCCGCGTGACGTTCGAGCAAGGCAGCGCGGGGACAGAACGCGAGCGGCGGCACTTTTCCACCGTCCCCATGTCTCCCCCGCGCCTGCCTTCCAAAACTTCTCAGGGAAGGCCCGTCCTCCACAGTCTCCTCTCCGCTCAGAAGCTCGGCCACCTGGCCTTCATCTCTCCCTTGTCCCACAACTATTCTTCCCTTGCGGTCACCAAACCCAAACACGGCTCCTCAGCCTGTGCGCTCAACCGTATCTCAGGGGGCGGCCACTGCTCTGGTTACCAGAAATTCGGTGTTGACCCAAGAGACAAAGAGCCTGTCAGAGGCTCACAGGCACCCAACGAGGAATCACACACGCCCTACTAGCGAGTGTCAATTCTATCTCAATTTGACAACTTGGTGAAGACAAGTCCGGGCGCCCCGTGGAGTCTGAGCGGTCAGGGAGGCTCTTCCGCGTCAACGCGCCCACACCGGGCACCTCTGTCCCGCCCGCCGCCGCGGAAGCACGACCGGCGCCTGCACACGCGGCAAGAGCTGCGGGGCCCCCAACTCCGAGGGAAGCTCGCGTACAGAACCAATCGAGTCCTGAACGAGGAGCCCCGGGCGGCCCCGGGCTCCCCAGGGGTGACTGTGCTCACTCCCCAACGGGGCAGGAGTCGGAGCGGAACACAGGAGCGGGGAGAGGGCGCGGAGCCTGACTGGTGGTCCCGACACTCGTCCCACCCCACTTTGTCTGCCGTCCACTCGGACGCCACACCGTCTTATCGTGGCATTTCTGTCACCGGCTTCTCCGTCTGCCCTCAAATGCGCTTTCCCCGAGAGCTCAGGCTGAGTCCTCTGTTCCGCACACCGTTCCCATTCTCCACGTGTTTGTGGTTTCCTCCAAGTCCTTCATGCCCACACCCAAGCTCCCAGTTCTGCCGAGAGCGCTCCCGCCACAGGGCACTGCCCCTGGCTGGTCCACAGGGCCCGTCTACACGTGACAGAGTCCACAGTCTCCTCCCTCCGCGACTGCTCTGGCTCAGGTCACTTTCCCACGTCCCTATCATGGCCGATGGCACCATCCTTCCCCGGGCAGCCGTCTCTGCTGCCGGCCACCCGACCCGTCCTTTCCTTCTAACCGGGTGGCTCTTACAGGGCTTCCGTTCAGACTGCAGTCTGCCACTCCAGTCCGCAACAGTCCACACACACACACACACACACACAACCTGACTCACACTCTGCTCTTGCTCGGAGCGTCCTCTCTCCACACGAGGCCAAATCCTACCAACTCGTGAATCTGAGGTTCGTCATCAGCCGCCCCTGCCCTGACTACTCCAGAGCTCTGTGGAAAGCAGGTGAACTCTCTTGCCCCGTGTTGTCCAGACACTTGTTCTAGAACCCACTCACCTGCCCCCACACCTGACCTGGACTGATGTAACTTTTCTACACCTGGGCAAACTGCCCAAACACGTGCCTGTGCCTCCTCCAATGTATGGCTTCCATTCTGGCTACACGCCCATCACTCAGCAATCCCACGGGCAACCCTGGGCCCACTCTCCTTCCAGGGCCTCACCATCAATGGTCTTATGTTCTTTGTTGCTAATCTAGACTTCAAGCTAACATTTGGGCCCTCATCTCTGACTCTGAAGCCCCACCTGCTCACACACACCACACACACGCCCCCCTGACGCACAGCTCCCGGGATATTTACAGGTTTGCGGGTCACACACTCCATCCTCACACAGATCACAAGTTTACATCTGAATACCAACCTGCTCTCTGAATGGAATCTGTTAGAATTCTGTCCGCCGTGTCATACTTGGTGTGATAAATGTACCCATTCTCAATAAAAGCCAAGTCAATGCCTAAGACACACAGGAAAACAACAACAAAAAACCCAAAATGTTAGTTTGCTTTAAAGATCAACCTTTCTTTAGGCCTATCTGTTTAATGTACCAAATTCCAAAAAGACAAAACGTCAAAGAAGTGCTGTGACTGCTTTGTCACACTTATGAGTGAACGATAGAAGTTCCCTTGCAAGTTCTTACAGAATCCAAGCCGTGGTACATACTGGCCAGGGAGTACACACACTGGGAGACACTGAAGTCACACAGCAAGGCGTGGGCACACAGAGCTCAGGGGGCCACGGAGCCCGTGCCGTCGCGGCCCCTGCTAGGCCCAGCCACGCTCCGGCTTCCCAGCAGCTGCAGGAGCCGCCAGGGGAACGGGCAGAGCCAGAAGGGGCACAGCGGAAGTGCCAGGCCCCCAGGGACACACTACCACCTGTGGGCAGTGAAGTGCTGAGCAGCCGCCCCGCTCGGCCGCAGCGTGGGGCAATACGACGTGTTCCGGGAAAGGCAAGCATTTAAATAGACCAGAGTTTAAGAGAGAAGAAAATTACCAGCAAATCAGTTCCAGTCCAGAATATACAGCTCCCACATAGAAAACACGCTCTCAGAAAAAGCCGTTTACTCACAAACTTGCGAAACACAAAACTTGCTTCTGGTTACTGGCCGTCACCCCACAGCCCACAACAAATACCTGGAATGTTCCCGAAGTCCCTGTAGATGCGGAAGTCCGTGTCCGAAGGGATGATTCCACTCTGAAAAACCTCCTGGGCCACCACTGACGCAAACGGGTGTTTGGCGGCGGAAACGTACGCCTGGACCAGCCACGGGTTTTCAGGACCTACAAGGACAGGCGAGGCCACAGCACAAGGTAACGTGGTGACTTTCAACACACCCAAAACGGTCCTGCGGTCGTCTGGAGAGACAGGTCCAGACTTTGCTCTTTCATCTTTTTTTCTGTACTTTCTAACACTTCTCTGGTAGGTGTGTACAACTTTTACAATGAGAAATCACCTTTCAGAAAACAGAATTATTTTTAATTATAAAATAACAGCACTATAAAAAGTTTAAGTTTACAAATGAGAAACTACCCAACATTCCATCATCCTGCGACAACTACTGTGATTTTTCTATCTTCAGTCGTCTTACAAACACCTGGCCGTGTACACAGCTGCATCCACTGCACTTTCATTTAACGTACTGAACATGTTCTCCTGAGCTGCTAGGTATAAAATAATCATTTTAGCATCTAAACTTTTCACTGAAAATACCCTAAATTCTGTATTATTACTGTTCATATTTCTTATCATTATTCATAATTCTGCATTAACATCTTTATGCACATAAGACTTTTTCAAACGCGGGAGATTTGTCTTTGGGACAGTGAGATAAACTGCGCTGCTGTTTGCAGCTGCGCTCTGCTCCCTCCCACGTGACTCATCACGCCTCCCGCGGAAGGAGCACATCCAGGCTGCACCCTGTTCCCCGTAGGTGCGGCCTCAGCAACTGCTTTGGCCAACAGACTGTGAGCCGAGAAACGACCCTCAACCGAGAAGACGCACAGGGGCCATCACACAGTCCCTCCCGCCTGTGGACTTTGGCCATGAGATCAATACGTCCCTGACTGGGCTTCTCCTTCAGTCCAGGTCCCACAAGGAAGGACACATGGAACAAAACATGCAACTTATGTAACCACAGTTACTCAGGAACCAAAATGTAATGAGCAAGAAATAAGCCTCTGCTGTTGTAATCCACTGAGATGCAGGGATTGTTTGTTCCAACAAAATTTAGCAAAAGGTGACTCCGGTATGCACATCAAGTCATTGTATTTTGGGAATCTAAGAATATCAACATGTTTTAACTTTATAAACAAATAATCAAATTGCTTTCCTATTGAAAAAAATGACCATAAAAGGTGGCGACAGGGTGGAGTAGCGCTACAGAACTGAACACCCAGGTGACCCAGATACTAGTCACCAGACACGGATTTTAAAATAACTATGATGAATATGTTCAGAAACACACCAAGAATTTTACAAGTGCAATCTATCAAAAAAAAAAAAAAAAAAAAAAAGGAGTCAAATGGAAACCCTATAAAAATTGATGTTGAGAATTTCAATACATGGTTTACTACCAGGTTAAACACAACAGAAGAAAGAATTATAGAGCAACAGAATTAGAGCATAGGAAAAAAAAAAAAAAGGATGGAAACTATGGAAATGTACATAAGAGATATATGGGGCACAGTTAGTTCCAGAAAAAGAGAATACAGAATGCAGCAGAAGCAATGTTTTGAAGAAATTACAGCCAATAATTTTCTAAAAGTCACAGAAAACATCAAGCTATGAATTCAAAAAGCTCTACAAACCCCGAATAGGATAAATACAAAGGAAAAAAACATACCTAGCACTAAGACCTTTGCTTTTTTTCTTTTTTGACATCAGTATTTATTTAAATTCTAGTTAGTTAACATACAACCCAGTGATTCATCACTTACATGTGCTCATCCCCACAAGTGCCCTCCTTAAGGCCCATCGGCCACCTACCTCCCTTCCAGCGCCCTCGGTTTGTTCTCTGTATTTAAGAGTCTCTTATGGTTTGTCTCCATTTCTATCTTATTTTTCCTTCCCATCCCCTATATTCACCTGTTTTGTTTCTCAAATTCCACATGAGTGAAATCATATGATATTTGTCTTTCTCTGACTGACTTATTTCGCTTAGCATAATATACTCTGTTCTATCTATGCTGTTTCTGTGGAAAACAGTATGGAAGTCCCTAAAAAAAAAAAAAAAATTAAAACCAGAACTACTCTACCACCCAGCAGGATCTCTGCTTCTGAATACCATGACCCACTGAAGGGAGCAGGTCTGCTCAGGGAAGGGCTAACCCCAGCCCCAGAGCTAGGAAAGAACAGCAGTCAGAACACCTTGTGCCAAGAAGCGAGCCAGTGTCCAGGAAGCATCTCGGGGACGCAGGCTGCCCGGGGAGGAGCTACCGCTGGCCTCACTGGAGACCATCCATGCGTTAAGATCACAGCAACAGTACAGATCATCCGTAAAATAAAAACACATGAAACACGGAAATAAATACACTAACAAGGGAAAAGAGAAAAGTCTTTGAGAATTCCAACTAGTAGCTCTGGACGAAATGACGGAGTCAGAACTCTTAATACCTGGCTAACGTCAGAGTGAAAATGCTTTGGAGCAAGAATCTCCAGGTTGCTGAAACCAGATTGGAAGCTCATGAGAAACAAGGCAGGTACAGTCTCAGAGGGCCTATTACAAAGGGGAAAAGAGTAACTTCTCAAGGCAGAAAAACCTGGCAAATACCATCAACAAACGACCAGAAGTCACCATCATCAGTGCCCAGACAGGGCCCACCTCCCAACGGTGCACAGAGGGCATAGACGGGAAAGGAGGAAGGGAAAACAAAGATGAGGAAACCTAGGTGATCAAATCTTACCATGTTAAACTACCGTTACTACTACAATCAGACGTTAATAACCAAATTAGTAAAATACTATGAAGGGGCGCCTGGGTGGCTCAGTCGGTGGAGTGTCTGACTTTGGCTCAGCTCATGATCTCACGCTTCGTGGGTTAGAGCCCCGTGTTGGCCTCCGAGCTGACAGCTCAGAGCCTGGATCCGGCTTCGGATTCTGTGTCTCCCTCCCTCTATCTGCCCCTCACTCGTGTGCATGCTCTCTCTCTCACAAAAATAAACATTTAAAAAATCTTAAATAAAATATTATGAAAACCATACTGAAAAACAGGCAAAGCTAAACTAGAAAAGAGAATATCCTGAATAGCAAGACGATAATGGCCACTCTGGGGTGAGAAGGCGGGTGCTGTGTCTGAGAAGAGGCAGGTGAGAGCCACTGGGAGGGTGTGACGGAGCCCAGCTTCTCCTGTCACCTGGGGTTTAGAGGTATGCACCTCACCATGACTAAGCTTTACACCTCTGTATTTGTGATGTGTGTGTTATAGAATCACTGTGATACAGCTAAAAATAAAACATGACAATCAAATGCTATTTGATCCTGGATTGGAACTCTGATTTTTAAGAAAACAAAGACAGGTGCCTGAGTGGCTCAGTTAGGTGTCTAACTCCTGGTTTTGGCTCAGGTCATGATCTTGGGGTTCATGAGTTCAAGTCCCGCATCAGACTCTGCACTGACAGCAGGGAGCCTGCTTGGTGTTCTGTTTCTCTCTCTCTCTCTGCCCCTCCCCTGCTTGTGTTCTCTCTCTCTCAAAATAAATAAACTTAAGGGAAAAAAAAACTAGGTCATTACTGAAACAATTAAAAAACTAGAAAATATCTATTAAGTAACAGTTTTATTTCAACATCCTATTTTATGAACGTCATAAATGTACTGTTAGGAAGGGACATATTGTTTATCTACTAAGATGATGGTTTTTCTCCTTTATGCTGGTGAAATAGATTGATTTTCAAATACTAACCCATCTTCATTTAACCATTCATTAAAGTTGCAGGATATAAAATCTCTACATACAATAATCAGTTACATTTCTCTATACTAATGACAAAGTGTCAGAAAGAGAAATTAAGGAAATAATCGCATTTATAATTGCAACAAATATAATAAAATACCTAGGAATAAACTTAACCAAGGAGGTTAAAGACCTATCCACCTAAGTCAGTCTTCAGACACTGATAAGAAAAAGTGAAGATTATTTATTTCCACAAATAAAAGGAAAGATGACAGTCCATGTTCAGGGGCTAGAAGGACTAATACTGTTAAAATACTGTTAAAATGTCCCTAATGCCCAGAACAATATGCAGATTCAATGCAATCCCTATCAAACTTCCAAAGGCATTTTTCACAGAAATAAGACAATTCTAGAATCTGTATGGAAGCAGAAAGACCATGAATGGCCAAGACAATCTTAACAACAATCCTGGAGGCTCCACACTTCTGGTTTCAAACTACACTACAAAACTACAGTAATCAAAATAGTATGGCACTGGCATAAAACAGATACACTTTGATGGAACAAAGAGCCCAGAAATAAATCCACACATACATGTTCCTGTGAAAGAAGCCAAGAACATACAGTAGGAAGGAACAATCTCTTCAATAAATGGTGTTGGGAAAACTGGACAGCCACAGGCAAAAGAATGAAATTAGACCACTCTATGTCATCATGCTCAAAAATTAACTCAATCTGGATTAAAGATTTCAGCATAAAACCCAAGACTAGGGGCTCCTGGATGGCTCAGTCAGTTAAGCGTCCAACTTTGGCTCAGGTCACATAAAAAATGATCTGTGCTCAAGAGCCTGGAGCCTGCTTCAAATTCTGTTTCCCTCTCTCTCTGCCCCTCCAATGCTTGCACTCTGTCCCTCTCTCTCTCAAAACAAAACCAAAAAAACCCCTATGTGGGTTTAGTAAGTTCTCTGACATTGGTCTTAGCAATGATTTTTTGCATTTCCACACCAAAAGCAAAGATAACAAAAGTTAAATAAATGGGAATATATCAAGCTAAAAAGTTTCTTCACAGCAAAGGAAAACCATCAACAAAATTAAAAGGCAATCTGCAGAATGGGATAAAATATTTGCACATCTTATATCTTGATAAAGGGTTGATATCCAAAATATATAAAGTACTCACTCAACTTAATAGTAAAAAAAAAAAAAAAATCTAATTAAAAAGTAGGCGGAAAATTTGAAGAGATATTTTTCCAAATAAGACATCCAGGTAGCCAATGGGTACACGAAAAGGGTCTTACTGTCACTAATCATCAGGGAAGTGGAAATCAAAACCATGAATTATCACTACACACCTATTAGAATGGCTTTCACCAAAAAGACAAGATCTAACAA